CCGCCAGCCTGGTCACCTTACACAGCCTGCTGTTCAGTCGTTTGGTCATTCCTCACTAACCCCCCTGCTGGCCTGGTTGTAGGCAGCCATCTTGTGAGGGCGTGAGGGTTAATTTGCATATTACCTCTTCATTATATAGGATGTTGTATTTTAATTCTTTGATTGATGCCTGTCTTCAGTTATACTACACATTTCATAAGAACAGGTTCAGATTTGCAGCCACAGTGCTAGACACATAGTTTCTTAGTGTTTGTTAAATTAATGCATAAAAGCTTTGAAATTGGAAATACTAGAAGGACCTGGTTAATTCACTTGACTTACCATGAATGCCCCCTTAAGTTCCTGGGGTTAATTACTCATAGTAAACATGACTAAGGGCAGGGCAGGTATAGAAGGTACAGGTCTTTACCCCTGGGATTGCAGCTAGAACCACAACATGAACAGCCCTATTATAGTCCTACACGTACCTGGTGTTATATAGGGCTTGTGACGGCCAGGGAAACTACCAGACACACTGAGCACCCTTTAATACTGTCTGTCCCCCATAGCATAGGGGGTGGTCTTACAAATGAAGTTATTGGTCAGCAGATCTGAAGCTCCGAGGAGAGCTATTAGGCTGGAAGTACAAATCTGCATAGAGATGGTAATTGAAGGCATTCTTTTGGGAGTGAGCAGGGAAGAGAGTATAAAGATGATTGCCTAGGCCTGAGCTTTGAAACTTAACATTTGAACATCAGGTAGTAGGGGTGAAGACCAGCAGTTACTTAGATACTGCTTTGCTTTGGAGAAAAGGGAATTGAAGAGAGAATAACCAAAATTATTGGAATTGGGTATATATATAATCTCTGTGGCTTGTCTGTCTCATCTCACATGGTAGGTTCTATTATAATTAGTCATTGATAATAGAATTCTATTGTCCATTTGACCTTTGGGATATTTGACTCTGATTTATTTAGTAGTTATTGACACTGAACAATTAGATACGCTATCTTATTTTTCCCATGCGATTTGCTTGAATGTGGCATATAAAGTAACGACAAAATACAATGCTTCCATGCCACTATCTATATCCCTTACTTGTTAACAGATTTGTTTATTCTTGTAAAGATGAATACAGCAAATTGTTTAATTGGCTTGGAGGCCTGTGCATTTTGGTGTTAAATATGTTGTTCCACATTTAAAAATACCTTGCAGATTTTCTAAAATGTAAGAGTACTGTGGTAGCTATCTTGTCTAATATTAAATAGCAATTGATATATTATGGAAGCTTTGGGAGCCATTCAGTTAAGAAATAGGTCTGCCTGATAATACCAACTGAATTCACTATCCTTTTTTTTTTCTTTGCAAAGAAAATCTTATATCAATAGGACTTTTTTTTTTAATAGCTTGTTCTTACTAGTTAGTTCTTCCCTAAGTTATGACCCTGTGACTGCACTGATCTTTCCAAACCCAGTACAGGTAAAGTAACAGAAGTGCTACTGCAGTGAGAATTTTCAATGCACAGAAATTCTGTTACCCTGCAGATGCCTTTTCTTATTCTTCTAGATTTTTTCTTTCTAATATATATATGTATATTAAACAGAAAATAAGGGAAGGACCAAATAGAATTGTTACTGTGCCTGCATTTTTGTGTAGAGTCTTCCATTTGGTTCTTTTACTAAGGATTTATTGAAATCTTGCTGTTCATATAGCACCACGTTGGTAGGTAATAGTGTGCCGGGGAAGCTCAGAAAAAAAATGAAAGTCAAAATCTCTTGTCTGTAGGGCTACAATCTATTTTGAAACAAACAAGAAAAACGAACAAACAAAAAACAGAATCAGGCAGATAAAATACAAAATATTTTGTTTTCAACTAGATACCATCTTTCTGGAACGTCGGAACATTTTGTAATCTCTTAGGTCATATATATAGTAACTTGGCTTATAAAACTACCCCTTAGGAAAGAGTGTAACACATTCAACTTTGTGCCTACAAGGAGAAAAACCTGAGATGTCTTAAGTTAAATTACAACAGGTCAGAGAATAGAAGGGGGAGACAAAAGGGGTTCATCAGTTAACTGCAGTGCAAAACCAACAAAAGACTGCTCACACTCCCTGGTGTATGTTGGAATCATCTAATTAATTTCCAGGTGGCTACATCCAAGATTATCCAAAAAGAGAGTAGCTAGGACTCTGCTGGCCTATCCCAGAACTAGCCCTGCTTCACCTTCTCACATCTATAACTAAAGTAAATGCTTTCTCTTGCCTACTTGATGTATAAAAAATACTTGTAAAACTCTAGATGGTGGACATATCTGTCTCCATGTCCTCAGACCTGTCTTTCTGTATTTTTTGCTAGCAATGGCCTAATAAACTCTTTCTTTTCAAAGCCTTTTCAGCTGTGGAAGTTAAGATTTTTGTTTACATGTGCTTTACATTTCTGGTTCAGGGCATAGATTTAGCAAAAGTGATAGTCATCTTAGAAAGGAAATTTAAAACTAACACCCAGGACTTCTTGGGCTGCTTTGTTTGGTGACATTTTTATCATCCTGGGCAGTATTTGGGTAACGCGGAGGGTCTGAATAGTTTTGAGGGTGGAGGACTGGTGTTCTAGGTGGGGGAGAACAGTCTGAGCAGTTGTGGGCTTGGTGTTGGGCCAGGGTATTTGAGAAATGTTACAGAGACTGGCCTCAGGAGAGCACGGAGTTCTTGGTGAGCAGAGATAGAAAAGGTTGTGCTGGGGACCAGAGTTTTGCCACCCTTAAGTCTGTCCTTCGGGACATTGATTCAAGACTGGTTCTTAAGAAACAAGGGACTCAGGAATTGCCTACTTCCCCTGGGAAGTCCTAGACCCCTATCCCTTTCTCCTTTGTCCAAAATGGCACATAAACCTCAGCTGCTCAGTGTCTTTTTTTCTGGGTCTTATGTCAGTGACACCCCTGCATGTACATCTGTAATAAACTTGGAACATTTTCTCCTGTTAATCTGTCTCATGTTAGTTTGATTGTTAGCTAGAAAAGCTTAGAAGAGGGGAAAAAAATTATTTCTTGTGCCAGGGTTAAGGCCACTGCCCAGAGTTTTTGTTCTATATTAAAGTGTAGACCAGTCCAGCATCTGGCTAGCTTAGCTTGTGTTCCCAGCTGCACTCCTTTGCTTACGGGGTCCACATATCCCTGGGTCATGTGGCTGTTTAAGGCCACATGGCCAACGAGTGCAGGTCAAGCAAGGAGCAAGTGAAGGTAAGGGAGAAGCAGAAGGCAAGGGAGATGAAACTCTTTGGGGATTTTTAACCTTCCAAGATTTTGCTCTCTTGCAGTGTGGCTTCACCCATCTAGACCAGTGATTCCCAAAGTGGGCGCTACCGCCCCCTGGTGGGCGCTGCAGCGATCCAGGGGGGCGGTGATGGCCACAGGTGCATTTGTTTTAACTTTTTTTGTATTACCTTTCTATTCTGAGTTCAATAAATAGTTTCATAATTTCAAACTTCAATGTTTCTAATTTACACCTTTCTTTACTATATTTTACGAAAAAGGTAGAAACATTAATACATACATCTTTATGTTTAATTGCTATTAAAATTTAAAAAAAATTAATTTCCAGGGGGCGCTGAGTAATATTTTTTCTGGAAAGGGGGCGACAGGCCAAATAAGTTTGGGAACCACTGATCTAGACAATGATCTTTTTCCCAGGCTGGATTGACACACAAGCACCTCTCCTTTGTCACACCGACTTCACTGTGCATGTATGGACCTCCCTCTTGGTGCCATTCCTTCCCCCAGTGATCTGCAGGGAATGGACTGGTGATTTCCTGGGGAGCGTGAAGTTGTAGCTTCCTGGTGAAGCTGCCCAGATGACCATGTTTATAGTGTCTGGTCTCCCCTTTGTTCTCTATTATTAATATTAATAAACTAGCTAATTATGACAGTAATATATAGGTAAAGGGTTCACAGTCATCTTAGAAAGGAAATTTAAGGTTAGAAACAGAAGAATTAAGGCATCGGGTCATATTGCCAGAGAAAGCTAGAATGCTGTGGACTGCATCCTGGGGGTAGGCCTACATTGATAGATAGGAGAAGCAGCAGCTTAAGAAATGCTGAAATAGGCAGATAAATAAAAAAAATTAAAGCTCAATGGGAGGAAAGGTTTCAGGAAAGAGGGTGATGTAAATGTTATTTCACAGAGAAGTCATGGAGAATGAGGACCAACAATGCTTTGGAGAGCAGTTTCAGCAGTGGGAAGTTAGAGCTAGCAAGGTAAGGAGATGGATTTAGCTGGATAGAGCACTTTAAAGAACTTAGGAAGGGGAGAGCTGGTCAAAAAGTAGAGTGGGAGGCACAATCTAAAGAAAGCAATTTTTCTTTTAGGTTGAAGGAGAGATTATCTGTGCACGTTTATATGCGAGGGGAGAAGGTGATGATGATGAGAGTAGAATACTTTAGGAGCCAGAGAAAATGCGGGATTTAGGGACTAATATGGTAGCACATGTTAAGAAGGAAGATGACTGAAGGAGATCTTTTCATCTGTGTGTGGAAGGGGAGGGTAAGAGGTAGGAATGAGTCTAGGTGGTGAAAAGCTCACAGCATTTGGCTGCAGTAAAGTTAGTGGGATTGAGGAGCATGGGGATTATTTGTTTGTTTACTCACAACATCTAATGCATCACTTTGATAGCAGCACAAAGATAAAGAAGCTACCACATAAATTTATAGAGATATATTTGTATGTCATTCTGTCTTTTTATGATGGTTACTCATAGCCTGAGAGCTGGCGAGGAAGCAGTGGACTGTGGGGTCTATCTGGCATTATAGATTTGTATGCCTGAGTGTTTAGAGATGCCCGAACAAAGTTACTCCTTTCTATGACTTCCCAGTATATGTTATAAAAAAAGTTACAATTTGTACCGAATTTGGTAGTTGTTATTTGAATTCAGCAAGTATCCTATATAATAAAACCCTAATATGCAAATCGACCAAACAGGGGAATGACCGGTCGCTATGATGTGAACTGGCCACCAGGGGGCAGATGCTGAACACAGGAGCTGCCCTTGAGGCAGTGCTAAGGAGCAGTGAGCTGGGGTGCGGGCCTAAGCCGGCAGTAGGACATCCCCCGAGGGGTCCCGGACTGCAAGAGGGTGCAGGCCGGGCTGAGGGGACCCCCCTCCCCCAAAGTGCACGAATGTGTTATGATAAAATATTTAACCAGGATGACCACATCCTTAACATCTGCTTTGAGAAAAGAAAGAAATATAATAGTGTTGGGCCTTGGATTTATGAAATGTTGGGTATAAAACGTTTATCTATAAGTGACTAAGTCTTGATTGTTTTCCTTTCTTCAAACAGCACTAATATTCTGAAAGAGCCTGTGTGTTTAGGAAGATGTGAGCACATATTCTGTAGGTAAGTAGTTATGACTTGATATATATTGTATATATCACATATATAATTAATACATACCTATGTAGCAACTATGCTTTTTACTAGTAATAGTCATGTATTCATATTGATGATAATTTTTTTATGTTTGTGTAGCTGTCTTATACTGCAGGGTAACTTACTTCTATATTATCTCATTTTGACCCTTATAAATATCTTAATTTACAAGAAAGAAATCAAAGCTTTAAGAGGATGACTTGATCAAAGTTATAAAGTTTAATAAGCATCTTTGCTATATTTGGGGGAAAATTAATATCTATTATATAATTCAAATATGTCTTTTTTTTTTCTTCCAGTTAGTTTTGAATCTAGACTTTCTAAACTATAAAAGTCTAGTTCTTATAGTAATTGTGTTAGTTTCTTCAAAGCACCAAAACTGGGTGGCTTAGAACAACAGAAATGTATTGTCTCTCCCTTCTGGAGGCCAGAAGTCCAAGAGCAAGGTGTCAGCAGGGTTGGTTCTTCGGAGGGCTGTGAGGGAGACTCTGTCCCACCCTCTTTCCTGCATTCTGGTGGAGAAACTTCACCATCTGGCAGTCCTTGGCATTCCTTGGCTTGTGGATACATCACTCTGGTCTTAGCTTTCATGTTTACATGGTGGGCATGTTTGTCTCTAGTGTCCAAATCTCTCCTTTTTATAAGTAACCTGTCATTGTATTAGGGCTCACCCTAGTGATCTCATCTTAACATGATTATCTGCAAAGACCCTATTTTCAAATAAGATCACATTCACACGTACTGGAGGAAAAACTTTTGGGGGGACATAATTCAAGCTGTAATAGTTATGGTGAAATTATATCCATGTTATAATGATAATATGACAGCCCTGGCTTATACAATACTACATTTTCATCTCATCCTGTTTCTTATTCAGAAGAAATCAATTTAAGGACTGAATGTGTTTGTTTAATTGTCTTTGAGCAGGGTTTATATAGCCTCCTTTGAATCAATCTTTTAATTATTTCAAGTTATGACTATGGAACTGTCTGGGCTGAGAAAACTGCAGTGTGAAGTTTAAGCTCATAGGAAAATAATTTGCTTTGTGACTTCAGTGGGCTGGGGATGTGTGGGAAGCAGCTATGCCTGGGGTCCCGATTTTGTTGCTAGAAACGTGGATCTGTTATGTGGGCATTTCTGGCAGGTGATGGGGTAGGAAGTAGTACCTATCACCTACCTGATATCCCCATTTGGAGGATGAAAGGGATTTCAGATTTGATATTTTCAGAGCAGATCTGTGGACCATCATCCCTTTCAACCTGTTCCTGTCTTGGTGGTCTTCAGAGAAATAAGTGATACTACTGACTGCAGAGTTGCTCAAGGCAGAAACCATAAGTCATACCTGATAGATGTTTTTCTTCCTTATCCCACATCATTAAGTTCTGTCAGTTTCATCTCAAAATGTGCCCCGAATCTTGAGTTTTTTCACCTTTTTCCGTATTTACTACTGTTTACACTTTAGTCCATGCCATCATCGTATTATCACTTCACAAAGTTCATAAGTGATCCTCTCCCCCACTTTCCTCATGCTTGTCAGTGCTCTTAAAGTGTAAATCACATCCATACCACTGCCTGCCTTAAATCTTTCAGTGACTTCTGGTTACAATTAGAATGAAACCCAAACTTTGCACTAAGGTCTACAGACCATGGATGGGACCTAGTTTCTGCTCCCCTCTTGGACCACACTTCCCTTTGGCTCACCAAGTTCCAGCCACCTCCTCTAAGTTCATGAAGCATAAATCTCACTCCTGGCCCAGGACTTTTGCATATGCCATTGCTTTCATCTGGAACATATTTTTGCCAAATATGTGTGAGGGAACTTCATCAGTTACACTTCAGCTCAAATGTCACCTCTTCCAAAAGGCCTCCCATGATCCTCTTATGAAATGATGCCCACTCCCTGTTTCTCCTCTAGCAAACAGATTTAATTTGTCTCACTGTGCATAATAGATTAGTGACAAACTGCTGAAACATAACAGACTCCATGAAATTATATGTAAGGTACATTTGTGCGTGTGTGTGTGTGTGTGTGTGTATGTGTAAGAGAGAAGGAGAGAGCCATACGTACATTTAATTGGATTCTAAAGGGGTCTGTGACTTAAAATAGCCAATGAAAGATTAAGAGAGGCATGAGAACATCTTAAAAGAAAATGTCATCTTTAAATGACATAAACATAGGAAAGAAACAATTCAGAACAATTTTGGTTCATTTGGATTCTATGGTGCCCAGAATTAGGGTAGCTGTTTCTATTCTTTGCAGATCTGGAGTTTTGTAAGTGCTGAGCAATGCCACAAATACCATGCATTTTTAAAAGATGGTTTTGATACACAGACCATAGAGTGGTGAAGGCCTTGGAGTAATGGGTGCCGAGTGGAGGGGTCAGTGGGAAAACAAAAACAAAACAAAGGGGACATCTGTAATACTTAGAACAATGAAGATAAATTTTAAAAAAGTAAAAATAAAAAACAAATAAAAGATGGTTTTGATATATCCCAGCAATTTTTAACCAGTGTACTGCAAGAATTTTAAAACATACAATACCTGACTTTTAGTTAGGGGCACTGACCACTTTTCCCTTAAATCAGTGGTTCTCAACCTTCTGGCCCTTTAAATACAGTTCCTCATGTTGTGACCCAACCATAAAATTATTTTTGTTGCTACTTCATAACTGTAATGTTGCTACTGTTATGAATTGTAATGTAAATATCTGATATGCAGGATGGTCTTAGGCGACCCCTGTGAAAGGGTCGTTCGACCGCCAAAGGGGTCGCGACCCACAGGTTGAGAACCGCTGCCTTAGATTGTCAGATTAAAAAATGTAAACAGCCATTATTTATTGGAATTCAGATTCTGCTGAGTGTGTTGATAATTATATATATTTTTAAAATTCTTTTTCAGTAACTGTGTAAGTGACTGCCTTGGAGCCGAATGTCCAGTGTGTAATACCCCAGCCTGGATACAAGACGTGAAGATAAACAGGCAGTTGGACAGCATGATCCAGCTTTGCAGTAAGCTTCGGAATTTGCTGCATGAGAACGAGCTTTCAGGTGAGCACTGGCACTGTCTCCCTTATTTAGGTAACCGATGAACTGTCGATCACATGAAGTGTGTAGAAGGGCTATCAGGAACTCTGAATGGTGTGTTTCAGATTTAAGATTGATAGTGTTTGGAATTATTTTGAGTGACAGATACCTTAGAGGTAATTAAGTCTCACTCCTTTTTTATAGATGAGAAACCAAGGGCCTCAGAGGTTAAATGGTCTTGTCTAAAGTCACACACATAGTTAGTACCAAAAGCAGGAGGAACAGTCCATTTCTTCTGATTGTCAGTCCAGACTTTCTTTTAATACTTCCACTGCCTGCTTTTTCAGTTATGATCATGTCTGTGTCATATGTGTAGAATAGTGATTATATCCTTAAACGCACTTAAATATACTTTTACAAGATAGACTACAATCTCCTTCCATGGATCACTTTTCTAGACTGAATTAATTAAATGAGCACATTTTTACAGAGCAAAAAATCTAATATTCACTTTTTTTTTCTATGTAAATGGGGGTTAATGTTTTTTAAATTGTTCTTAGACTCTGTGTATTAACTATGTATCTTCCCATTGTGCTTTCTGCTGAGAACTAATTAGCTGTGGAAAGAGAGTAGTGTTTTGAATCTTCATAGTTAGATATGGGAATTGCCCTTTTATTGACCAGATCACTTCCTTTTAGCTTGTGTTCCTTTATAGGAGAACCTATTCTTGACTGGCAGAATGCCATGATTGATAATATGCATATGAAAGGGCTGGATTTCTGTTTTAAAATCTTTTTATCTTCATTTTCCAACATGATGTGTCACTGTCAACTATTAATGGTGAAGTGATTTGGCAAAATAAATAAATGAGGCAAATACTGAGTCTTATTTACTAGGTCCATATTTTTAAGAATTAAAATCATAGTTACCACCCTAATCGGTTTGGCTCAGTGGATAGAGCATCAGCCTGTGGACCCAAGGGTCCCAGGTTCGATTCCGGTCAAGGGTATGTACCTTGGTTGCGGGGCACATCCCCAGTAGGGAGTGTGCAGGAGGCAGCTGATCGATGTTTCTAACTCTATCCCTCTCCTCTCCTCTCTGTAAAAAAATCAATAAAAATATATTTTAAAAAATCATAGTTACCTACAAAAAGTTTTCTACTAGTTATCTGATTATTATATTACTCTCTATTCTTTTATGATAAAATGTGCTATCGTGATAACATTTTACTGACTTTCAGATGTAGTTATACACATACACATTTTTAAAAGTACTTTTTTGAAAAAATGCTGTGTTATAAATCTCTTAAGAGCACAATGAGGAAAAGTTTTATTATTAAGTTCATCTGTATTCTTTTCCTTCTTATTCAGAGACAGTGCTAATAGTGTTTATTTTCTGATTAGAGAGATTAGTGTTTGATCTGGTACCCCGCTCCCCAACATTGATTAAAGCAGGAGTCCTTAATCAAGAGTCTGCGCATCTTTGGCAGTGATGGGGGTGGGGGGAAGGATCAGTGAGCCTCTTGAGTTAATTATACAATGTGAAAAATGTTCCTGTCTCTGTGAAAGTGGTTTTCATGAGATTCTTAAAGATGTGTGGTCTGTTAGGAATATTGGCCAAGCATGGAAGTTTGGGGTGCTGCTCCGAGATTTGTGTCTGTCATGATGATTTGATTTGATTCTTCCCCGGTTGCTGTGTAGTGATTATTAGTGCTACTATAGTGATACTAGCTTGCTGGGGCTGCCATAGGAAGGAGCACACCGCACATGGGGGCGTTGAAATGACAGGAAGTCCTTATCTCCCAGGTCTGCAGGCTAGTCCAAAATCAAGATGTAGGTAAGATTGGTTCCAGGGTCTGTGAGGGTAGGATGTGTTCCAGGCCTTTCTCCTTGCTTTGCAGATGGTGGTCTTCACATGTTATTCTCGAAAGTTTGGGTCAGATTTCCCCTTTTAAAAAGGACACCAGTCATACTGCATTCGAGTCCCACCCTGCGCATTACCGCTAATTACATCTGTAATGACCCTGTTTCCAAATAAGATCACATCCGGAAGTACTGTGGGTCAGATTTCTTTATATGAATTTTAGGAGGGACACAATTTAACCCATAACAGCACTGTGACATTTTTAATGGTGACAGAGTAACCCTTGATGAGTAGTAAATTATGGAGCCTGGGGTACCATGGGTGCAAAGAAAAGTAAGATAGAAGACTTCTTCAGAAATTTTACCTTGGTTAGTGATGTTTGAATCATCAGTATGGTTTTCATCTTTTGTGGACCATGATTGTGAAATGGCTTAATTTTTCATCATTTAAAAAGATATTTAGGAAAATTACTGAGTTTAGAACAAGTTTTTGTGTGGGATCTGAGGCCATTCCGAATGCCATCTTTTTCATCTGAGAGTAGAGGTGGAACTTGGGGAAAAAATTAGGGTGATTAGTTTTCTGAAGGCCATTTTGTGTTTGTTTTCCTTATTATATAATGAATAATTACTTCAGTCAGTTACCAGACTTTAGTAGTGCTGGCTTTAACATTACTTACTTTACGATGAATTGAAATTTCACAGTTTGCGTAATATATAAGCAGAATTTTAGGAGCTAGAAGGTTATCTTTAATCCCTTTATTCTGCAGATGAGGAAATTGAGGACCTAGGTTAAGCCAGGCAGTCAGATTGTAAGTTTCTTGCTGTTTGTTTTGTTCTTTAGCACATTGCTTTTGTTAGAAGTATAGGTGTTCATTATGTTTGTTGATTGGGTTGGAGAAAAATTGGCAGTGTTAAGACTTCAGTCATATCCCAGAGACTAAACTTAATCAAAACAAAACAAGTTTAAAACAAATTCTTAGGTTGTGCCTTCAACAATTCAATTTATAGTGCTAACATTCTTCTTTGCTAGTTTTATAGAAGATGATAAATATAAATTCTATCTGAAATATACATTTCTAATCCAATTCTCATGTCTATGAGGAAGCTTTTTCTACTTATTGTAAATTAAATTGTCACCAACCTTTCCTCTCCATGTCCCTTAAAACAAACTAGCCTTGAAAGGGCATTTGAGAGTGTTTATTTATAGTTTATCTATTCAATATATTTTATGTGGTACCTTTATGTTAGTTTATCTAGCAAGTGCTTAAAGTGGTGTAAGGTGAGTGAGGTGAGTAGGTAGAGAGAAATAATAGTTGGATCAAATAATGAGGATATTGGAAATGATCTCCTCATAGAAGAAGGGTATTACATTAAATGATTCCAAAGGTCTAGCTCCAAAATCATATGGATAACTGGTCTAGTGTTGAAGGTGAATTAGGTGGAATGGTTGGACACCTTCCACATTTTATCTATTTTTTTAACCTGTAGTTCACAATTTATCTTCCAAATGAACCTTGTTATTTGCATTTACTATAAAATATATAATCACTGTAATTAAGGTGGATAATTAGGAAGAACCTGTCAAGTCAGGGACATAGTATAGGTATACACTGGAGATAAAGCAGCCTGATTTACAGTAATACTCTCTAAAATCAGCTTCTAAATAGTTGAATAAATTTTTCTCGGTTCAGTGTGTTTCAAAGCGAAGAGAGTGTCATAAATTTTTCTGACAAGCATTTATGGATAATTTTATCTTATTCTTTATAACATAATCTGCTTTCTACTAATGGAGTTAAATTTAAAAGTTTTTATTTTCTCTTGGCCCCGTCATATTAAATCAGACTTTGCAGGTGCTGGTCAGGTTCTGTGAAATATATGTTGGTGTTGGTGACATTAAAAAAAATTGTGATTATGCTTTCATAGGATCACAACTTTATTTTCTGGTTTCAGGAGAGAGGCTGGTCTCTCTGTGGCGAATTACATAGTGTTTCATATATGCTGTCACTTTTTTATAATAGATGAAGATGAGCATTTAAATAGCTGTGTTTTTATTTTTTAGGTAGAACTGAATACTTCTTAACTTACAAAATAATCATTCTTCAGTGAGGGCGCTAATATTGCACAGATGGTAGCAAAGTACTTTCCTTTGATTTTTAATAAGGGGCTAGTTTGTCAAGGAGATTTCTCAACTTCTGTTGTGAAACCTATAATAGGATTATTTGAAAGGCACACTGTGTTCATCATTATAATCCTTTGATGTAGATTAATGATAGCTGAATCACATTTGCTAATTTCTTGCCTTTTCTATAGTTTATTATTAAATTTTAAGAATAAACTTGGCTGAGCAGCTCCTTGGCCACATGTGCATCTCTGTTCCTGGATAGTTAGGAGTACTCAGAAATGTTTAAATTCAGAGAATAGAATTTTAAATGTCATCATTATGAGGTTTACTATGTAGAGGAAGGACTATGTGATTTTCTTCGTGAAATGAATATAATAATTTTTCATGCTTAGAAGCATTAACCCATATGAACTGTTGTAGCTGTCAATAGTGTGGTTGATGTTCTAAGAGTGGTGGGGGTTTTGCCTTTTATCGTTTTAACTGTGATATGCTGTGTAAAGCCCAGAATTTACAACATACTTGTTGTGGTCTTTGCTTAGGTAGGACAAGATACACAAATACAATAATTCTGAGTAAATGTAGTACTATTGGATGACTAGTGAAATCGTGTGCCTATAAATTACATGACTATATGCTGTTTTCATTTATTGCTTTACTAGAGGCCTGGTGCACGAAATTCGTGCATGGGTTAGGCCTGGCCAGGGATCCGGGCCAATCAGGTTCCCCACCTCCTCCTTCCCTCACCACCCATGCACCACCACCACCGCTGGTCAGTTGCCTGCATTTGTTCCATGCCACGCCCTGGTGGCCAGCGCACATCATAGCGAGTGATCGAACTCCTGGTCTCCCGGTCAAACTCCCAAGAGGACAATTTGGATATTAGCCTTTTATTATATAGAATAAGATAAGAAATATGTATACCTGAGTGAAATTTGTTGTCTTTTTAGATTTAGATTTTTTTAGTCAATTGGGTATGTTGCTACTACTTACAAGCCTTAATTTTTTATTAAATGTCTAGTTCTACAGTAAGTTTTATAAGCATTCAGATTTCAGGATTTGACTTTTTAGTTGAAAATGTCATTATGTAAGTTTAAAAAATAAATTAAAAAAAAATAAATACAAGGTATTACAGACTACCAGTGGATTAACCTTTATTTAGTCTTTGTAATCCTGAGTCTTTCTTAAAAAGTAATCCTGGTAACATTTCCTTTTGACCTTTCCTCTAGACTTGAGATTGTATCAGAAGTGACTTAGTTTGAAATCTACTTATCACTGCAGAGGAAAGACCTTGTTGAATTTAGAAATTATGTCTCTGTGTGAATGGGGTTTTATCCGAATCTGCAAAGGTTCAGGAATCTGGAGAAGGGGCTGCGATGTAAATTAAATAAACTAGACGCGAAATACAAATTTGGGAGGTATGGGGGAGCCAGGGGAGGCTTAGCTCTAGTGACTAAGCTTCCGGACCCAGGGCTTCTTATTCCCACATTTTGCCCTATAGCAAAGCAGATATACATATCAAAGGTTAGGTTTGGTAAACAGTAAAGGATTATCAGGTTGGGGGAATTGCCTTTGGCTGTTCCAGCAGCAAGTAATAACATGCAGATTTTAGCCCTGCTGAAAGAGTCCATTCAAAGCTTTTGAGGACTTCTCAAAAGGACTTTTGAGGACTTCATTTATTATGACCTGCTGGACTTAGCCTCCAGCATGAATGGATGCTTCATTCTTCTATTTTGATTTCCAAGATCCTGTCCTAATAACACTTGGTGGACCAGGTGCCATTCAGCTAGGACATTAGAAGGATGTAGGAGGGTGTGCCCTTATTCACATACACACTCTTGCTTCAGCTGGGTTTATCAATTAGTCTTTCCAGTTCTGCCATTTTTCCACCAGGAGGAAGGCATGGCTTCTTTGGAGTGGAGTAGAGTTTGATAGAATTCCTTTGCTAGGCAGGGATCATATCTTTGTAATTTCTACTGAGATATGCACTAAGTGTTTGTTTTTCATAATCCACCTTTTTTCTTTCTTTTTTATAAACCTGTTTTTGGCAGATCTATTTGTAAAGATAGTAGTTTTATACTCAAGAAACATGAGGTAAAAAATAGAATTAATTTTGAACTTTAGATTTTAATTTACTAATTTTATAATGTATTATTAATTTTGAATTGATAAAATAGTAAGTGTTCTGTGTGAAGAAAAAATGTCTAAAAGGAATTAAAAATATTTTATAATTTCCTTTTTCTCGCTAACATTTTAAGACATGAGAATGTTGAAAGGAAATCAAGAATAAGCACACTTGACAATTTTATGTAATACCTTAGTAAAATGACATGTTTATTTCCTATACAGTGGATGTTACCAGTCCTTAGTAGTAAGATATCATTTGATTTCCTCTTAAAGTAACTTAATTTTAGACCTTGGTTCATGAAAATGTTACTTTAGATTATTTATTTATTTAATATATCTTTTCTCCATGACTGTTATAACCACCAGCATACTGTATGCACTACTTAGTTATTCATATTTTCTGGTCATCCCCAGTGGAATATAAATTCCCTGTTTTCTTCTCCAGTCCCTAGAACACTGTCAGGACTAACGTAGGATTCTGTAAACATTTGTTTGAATGTCCAAATATCTCTGCTTATGGAGTTCATAGTCTAGGTCAGAAGAAAGAGGTACATAAATTAAAGTGATATACTTTAGGAAAACCATAAACAAAATTCTGTGGGAGCTCCAGCTGGGAGAGAGTAAGTTCATCTGACAGATTTCTCTTCCTTTTTTTCTATCAGATTTAAAAGAAGAAACATCCAGGAAAAATTTATTTAATCATGCAGAAAGTAAGAAGAATTCAATAAAAATGTGGTTTAGTCCTCGAAGTAAGAAGGTCAGATATGTTGTAAGTAAAGTTTCAGTACAAACTCAGCCTCAAGTGATAAATGATGAAAATACTCAGCAGGCCTCGACGTATGAATATGTTTCTGCGAGTCCTCCAGTAGACTCTTCTGCGAGGGCTAAAAAGGCTTCTACAAGATCTGGGAAAAAACAGAAAAAGAAAACTTTAACTAAAATCAACCAAATGTGGAATTTAGAGGCAGGCAAAAAAGATGGTCAACTTGACTCCAAAGAGAAATTTAAGGAAAAGCTGGTATCCTTCTCTGTCCAGCCATCTGTTAATGCCAGTCCTCAGAGAAATGGTGAAATAGACTTACTAGCAAGCGGCTCTGTGACAGAAGATGAATGTTTTGGAAACTTAACCGAAGTCTCTTTACCATTGGCTGAGCAAATAGAGTCTCCAGAAATTGAGAGCAGGAATGAAGTCATGACTCCTGAGAAGAATCTCTGTGAAAATGATCTTTCATCTAAGAATGGAAAACGTGGGCGTCACAGGAGACTTTCCAGCCCCATTTCTAAGAGATGTAGAAACAGCATTCCCAGCACCAGTGAAAATTTTGTTAAGCAAACAGGGCTCTCAGAAAACATCCCATTGCCTGGCTCTTCTTTGCAGCCTTCAACCAAACTTAAAGTTGGAGACAGAGTAAGGAGGAAAACCAGAACTATATTAGATGAATCCATGAGCTCCTCACCCTCTACACTGAATAGTACACCACCCTCTACACTGAATAGTACAAATTACGGGCGAATGCTGTCCAGCCCCTCAGCAATGAAACTGACACCCCGTAACCTTACGAGTGTGAAAAGAAATCATAAGGGCGAGACTTTGCTCCATATTGCTTCAATTAAGGTACGAAACTTACTTTGAAATAACAATTTCAGAATGAGACCAACTATAGAACAGTTTCTTTGGAGTTTGTGAAAAATGAGGAAAGATGATGAGAATGATTTAACTCCCACAGATGTGACACTTAAAGGTTGAACCAGAGAAATAGAATTCATAGAGACTAAAGCCCATCTCAGTTAGGTCCCCAGGCCTGAGGAACATGATCTTTAGGAGAAAATCAATGTTTCAATATTTTAGCTTCTCTTTGGGCAGGTGCTTTTGTTTCTTTTCTATTCCATAATAGTTTGTTCCATTTTCACCATTTTGTTTACCCATCCTTCTCATGCTTTATGAATAAAGATAATTGCCAAGTTACTGCTGGCAACATGTCCTTCTAAGCAATAGAGCTAGGGGCACTGTGAGAGGTGGCAAGCTCCTAGAGGGCACAGCTAGAATTTGGAAGGTTGAAAGATGTGATCTGTACGTTTCTCCAATGATCAGGAAATTCGACTGTGAGAGTGGCTCCCGTGGTTCACCACAGAGGAGCTGTTCTGTGCTCTACTGCCAGCCATTCCTTTTGCTAGTCTGTTCATTGAAGTTAATTCTCTTTATTTATTGCCTCAACACCTGGGGTGTAACAGTGTTTGTTTTGGAACCTGGCTGGTTTATAGAGCATGAGGTGGTTAATCTTTGAAATGGAAAATATGACATGGGAGAGATTAACACTAAATTAAGATAGGTTTTAGGGTATTCCAGTAAATTCTCTGGGAAATCCTTGGGTCCTTTGTATGGATAGAGAACTTTGGGAGGTTTGGAAGGAACCCCTTCATGAGGTTGGTGACAAAATATCTGGGAACAACATGGGGTAGACATTGAGTCAGGGACCCGTGTATTTTATGTGTGGAGAAAGGGAAAAGCACAAAAATGAGTCTTTTCCAATTGTTAGTGGTTTATTTTTTCCTTGCTTTATCTTCCTATATCTAATGCAGTTTGGGAGGGAGAACCTGCAATATGACTACATACTCAGGATTACATATCCTTTGAACAACTTGAATTTTTAGAATTAGCTCTAGTTTGATTTTAGTTTGATTTTTGCAAAGCATAATTTTAAAAACCATACTATTTTTTTGTCTTCTTTGTTATATGTAATATATACATATACATATACACATAAGCTATTATACATCTTAACATAATATTATTAATGCTTCATAGACATAAGTAGCTAACATAATAATTATTTTTGTTCACTTTTCTGAATAGTACATAAAAATGTGGCTACTTTAATGTCTACATTTTGCTTTCTGGGAATTATTTTCAGACCACCAGGTAAGCATCCACCTATATTGGTAGATAATTTATTTTTTAAAATAAATTTTTATTGATTTCAGAGAGGAACGAAGAGGGAGAGAGAGATAGAAACATCAATGATGAGAGAGAATCATTGATCGGCTGCCTCTTGCACGCCCCATAATGGGGATCGAGCCCGCAACCCGGACATGTGCCCTTGACCGGAATTGAACCTGGGATCTTTCAGTCCGCAGGCCGACGCACTATCCACTGAGCCAAACCGGCTAGGGTGATAATTTTTCTTTTTAACAAGAAGAATTATTTATCTTTATTAATGAGGATCTCTAGGGCTTAGAATCTAGGCCGTGGTTTGGTAAATGCTTTTTTAAAGGGCAGTTAGAGTAAATAATTTTAGCTTTGCAGGTCAAATAGTTTCTGTAACAACTATTCAACTCTGTCTTGGTAGTGCAAAAGCAGCCATAGACAATATGTAAGCCAATAAAACTTCACATCCACAAGCAGATAGATATCTGGCCCACAGGCCATAGTTTGCCGACCCTTGGCCTAGCCTAGGCCATGGGAAAAAGCCACAGTAGAATCATCAGACAGGAAAACATGGTGGCATGAGCTGCCTTGTGAATTTTCTCCATTGAAGATTGTTTCACACTAGTTCTGTGAGATTGTCAGTTTACTGAGAGTCTTGCCAGCATTAGAGTTACCCATTTTGATTCTTTTGAACTTATCAAATATTGTTATTGTCATTAGTTGGCAGATTCTGATGCAGTACACTTGTGAAAAGCTAATGGATTTTTATTGTTTTTTAAATCACTATTTAACAATAGTGTCTCTTTAAAAATGTTATTAAAATTAATCCCTACCCAGCTTGATGGTAATAGAACAAATACTTGAAAGAAACTTAGTGGATTTGTTTGTATGTGTGCATCTGTGTATTATAAATAATATTTGTTTTAGTTTTTTACCCTAATTTTTTTCATTTGCAGCTGAAAATGAAATAATCTGTGTGTGCTAGAAAACCAAATATTGCCATTCTGCTGTCTTAATTTGTGTTTTGTATCCACCTACTTGAGAAAAGGATTAGAGTGGGCTCCAAAGTTTAAACTACTATAAAATGAACAAGGCACAGAAAAGAGGAAAGGGCTGAATAATGAATATAGATTTGATGACCGTTCAGACAGCCAGAGCAAATAAGGGGAAGTACCAGGTTTTATGTTGTCAAGAGATGGATTTTATTTGTCGTCGTCGTACTTGTTATTTTTCCATAAAGTGTCTTGGTAGACTTGCATTTCCCATGTTTCCATTGCCCCTCAGGTTAGAAGAGTTGTGGTTGTGTGATGCCTTCTTCTTGGTGTATGCACTGAGGGTAGAGGACCCCTGGTAGTTTGAATGTTCTCGGCTGGCTAGATGGCTTTACAGAATGATCTCTGAATTTGGTAGCATTATTAACAAAATTCTTTAATATCCTGCTCCAGACCTTCCTCTGGGCATCTCTGTTGACCATAACCTTTTCATAGCTACCACCCTAGTGGAAGCTACTTGTCTTTTCTTGTTGCCCTGACCACTTGTGTTAGTGCCCTGTTGCTGTCACTGCAAATTTCTACAATTTTAGTGACTAAAAACAAGGCAGACTTATTTTCTTAGGTCAGAAGTCTGGTGTGGCTGTCACCAGGCTAAAATCAGCATGTCAGCTAGGTTACTTTCTGGAGGCTCCAAGAGAGAACCCATTTCCTTGATTACTTGGGTTGTTTCAAGGAACTGCATGTTTCTTGTGGTTGTCAGACTGAGATCCCGTTTTCTTGCTGGCTGTGCAACAGAGGGTGGAGTCCTTGCATCATCTTTCTGACCTGGCCAGGAAGGCTCCCTGCCTGTAAAGCAGCGGTTCTCAACCTGTGGGTCGCGACCCCTTTGGGAGTCGAACGAACTGTTCACAGGGGTCGCCTAAGACCATCGGAAAACCCATATATAATTACATATTGTTTTGTGATTAATCACTATGCTTTAATTATGTTCAATTTGTAACAATGAAATTGGGGGTCACCACAACATGAGGAACTGTATTAAAGGGTCGCGGCATTAGGAAGGTTGAGAACCACTGCTGTAGAGGCTCACATGGCTACACCCCAGGGCCACCCTGAGAGTGCAGAGCAATCTCTCACATCTAGATCTGTACCCTAATCACATTACAAAGTCCCTTTTGTCATGTAAGGTGACATACAAGTTCTGGAGATTAGGACACAGACAGTTTTTTTGAGAGGGTCAGTATTCCAACCACACCATGAAGTAGCGTCTCATTTTTTGCTCTGCTTTTCTGCATTCAGTTTTCTATATGACAGCCATAGTAATCTGACCTAAGTCAGAACTCGTCATTTCTCTACTCCCCTACCAATAATTCCTGGCTCACTTAAAACAAAATCCAAAGTCTTCCATGCCTACATAACCCTATGCGATCCCTTCTTCAGGCTTCTGCTCAAATGCCACCTCTTCAGAGAGACTTTTCGTAACTTCTCTAAAATAGCATTTTTGGCCATACCCTTAGCTTGTATGTTTTTCTTCCTATTATTATAGGATAAACACTTATGTTGTTTATTCTTCTGAGTTAATGAAAAAAAAAACACCTTAATATTTGACATTTTTCTAGACGTAGAGATTTTGATTTGTTACTCTATTATGTCAGCTTTGCTGGAGGTGCTGGGAAAAACCTCCCCAAAGTTCTCTATTACCGATCTTTAAAATGGTAATGATTACTCATAATTCATGCCACAGCAGTGAATAGATTGTGAAATACAAGAATGGCTTGAAGTTGGCATGTCATATGATATATTTGTCATACAAACATAATAGGTACTATTTTGAAGGCAACTTACAAGGCATGATGTGCTTAACATAAAAAAGGTGCTGAGGATTTCTTGGGAAGAGAGAAAATCCACGGTGAGAAGCCTCCTTCAGTCTTTGACTTTGTAATTCATGTTATACTGTGTGTAGAGTCACATTATTACACGATCCTTCTTACTAGCTTTTCGAGAAAGTAGCAAAGGATTCAAAAGCACACTGGCATCTGTGACATTTTAAGAGTTTAATTTCTAGAACACCTCTTGGAGTCTGTATTCATTTTCCCTCTGTCTGTCACCCACCACCTTTGTAATACCAGTAACTTATGTCACGATGACTAGATTGTCAGAATCATCTATGAAATTATTTTATTCAAATAGTCAACTCTGGCTCAGCGGTCAGGGGAATGTTTAATATTTTTGAGAGCTCCATTCCAGATGGTTAAATTTTTTTTTTAAATGACATCTGGTTGCTAAAAGAAACTTTAGGTACTTGGTCAGTTCATATATGTGGAAAGCTTAGCCGTTTGGGGTAACTTGTGATTATTGCACTTAATCGTAATGTCCCGTACTATTTTTATAAAGATGTTTATTAACAGTATCTTGGAAATGTCAATCTGTATATCAAGGAAGAAGTTCTGTTTGTGTGTGTGTTTGTTTTTGGAAAGTTAATTTATATTGTTAAAGTATGCATGAATGTGTGAAGAGTCCTTTGAATGAAAGGTTAGCAATAAGAAAATTCAGTGTGGCATGCATGCTTCCTCATTTTCAGCCTTTAAGGTATTACTTCAAAATATCAAATCCATTTAAAATTTCTTATAAGCCTTGGTAAATATTTTCCTCAGATGATTTTTTTTCTTGCTGTGGTTAATAAAAAAAAGTCTCAATTATTTTTGTAAGTTGTGAGGAGCCTAAAAGTGAGTGCTTATTACTTAGAAAATATTCTATTACAGAAGAAAGCAATTTAAAGAAATCAGGAGTAGAAATTAATTTATTTCTTGGAAACTTCATATTGGTTCAAGCTTACCCAGTTACTGTGGATCCTATCTAAGTATCATAATTTTATTTATGTGCATTACATTCAATTTACATAAAGGAGAAGGATGAAAATATGACAGACTTTTAAGTACTTGGGGAGAGAAACAGGTTGGGTATTAAAAGCAGGCAGTTTGCCCTAACTGGTTTGGCTCAGTGGATAGAGCATTGGCCTGCGGACTGAAGGGTCCCAGGTTCGATTCTGGTCAAGGGCATGTACCTTGGTTGCGGGCACATCCCCAGTGGGGGGTGTGCAGGAGGCAGCTGATCCATGTCTCTCATTGATGTTTCTAACTCTATCCCTCTCCCTTCCTCTCTGTAAAAAAATAAAAATAAAAATATATTTTAAAAAAAAAAGCAGGCAGTTTGCCAACAGTGGTGATTGTGGGGGTGAGGAGTGGGCGAAGGTTGAAAGAGGGTATAGAGGAATAAATGGTGATGGAAGAAAGGAAATAAAGGAACAAAAATAAGCAGTTTGTAAATCAGTTATACCGTTCAGGGAAGTCTAGGGGTGCAATTGTAACAGAAGACGTCTTTGATGATATGAAGAGGTGACATGAAAGAAAAACACCACTGTCCAACAGCCTTATAGGAAATTCTGACTTTAGTCTCTAAATTGTCACTCCCTTCCTACATGACTATTCCCATGCGACTCCTCCATTTCACTCTTGTGCTTATGTTATTTTACGGGCTTCTTAGGTGAATATGGTTTTGTGATTACCATGCAGAGTTAGAATGAGGAAATTTTTGCGAAAGTTTTTTGTCTACTTCTTGTGTTTACTTTCATGTTGAATGTTGGGAATGGGTGTGGTTGTGGTAGTTCATCTGCCCCAAATTATTTTAGAAAATTCGTATTTGTATTTTGTCAGATTTTCCTGAACTCATTTGGAACTGACTTGAATATAGAGCAACATTTGCTAAATACATGCTACCTTGCATTAGAGATATAGAATGTATACCCCTCAGGAACTATGGAAAAAATGTTTTTTATATGAACTGAAGCATTTGATTTGAAACACATAGCATGCTTATTTTTTAGGTGCGTTGAATATTTAAGGTCGTTTTGTTAATTTAGGAACATAAAAATATATATGTTGCATGCGGATTTGCTTTTCAGAAAACTAAGTAAGTTACCATCTTAAGATATGCTGCATTTGAATGGTGGCCCAAAACAATAAAAAAAAAGCAAATGTTACTGTATTAAGGGGTCTTAATGACTTCTATGTTATCAACCTATAGAGGCTGAAAAGTTATTTCTGAAGAGTATAGGGACTGGGAGTGGGAGGAGACAGATTGGTTCTCCCTAAAGAGGAGCTTCACAAAACAACAGTGTCATAAGTAACTTGTCAAATGTAATTTTTAAATTTATTTTTCAGAGAAAGCTCTGTTAGTTATTTTTGGAAAAAATAAGCCTTGCTTCTGCCTAGAAAATATCTTTGAGCAAATAAGGTGAATATAAGCTAAGTTAATGTATTAAGGATAGAGTGACTGCCCGTAAGACAGTTTTTGGCAGCCTTACCATTGGTTTTACTGAGCAATCTTTCTGGCTTTAATTTTGTTTTAAACAATACTCAGGAACCATTTTTATAAGTGCTCAAAAGAATGTTTTTCACAAATGAAATGACTTTAAAACCTTTATTATGATCAGATAAATGATCTGTGGCTAGTGTCCTTTATTTGGTATTTTGAAATGAATTTCAGTATGGGTTGCTTATAGCAGAGATTTTGTACTCTGTATTTAAGGATGTACGTACCATATGAATTCCAGGACTTGGTACCTCAGAATAGCTCATACATACAAACCTTATTCTTTATTAGCTTATGAGCAATATGCATAAGGGAAATATTTGTTTCATTTTATCTTTAAAGGCGCAGAATCTTTAAAAACAAAACAAAACTCAATATCTTATTTTTTTCCTTGATGATTTTTAATTTCTTTTTGTTTTCTTTGTCTTATACTAGGGCGATATACCTTCTGTTGCATACCTCTTACAAAACGGAAGCGACCCAAATGTTAAAGACCATGCTGGCTGGACACCATTGGTAGTTTTCTATTTGTTTGTTTTTTTATTCCCATTCTGTTTATATTTCCTAGTTATTAATAGTTTATAGTTATGTAGTTGTTTCTATATCATTCTTTGCCATATATACACCCTTTTAAAATCAGAAGACATATTTTCAACAAGTAAGAGAAAATGATTATTTGACATCTAGCTCTTCAATTGTGATAGGAACCAAATGAGCTACCTTTAGATTTAAGAGACCAGTTATACCATGTTGCTGAGCTTAGCAGCAAATGTGTGGAGAGCCAACATCAGGTTCCATTCTGCAGCTTTTCATGCAATTGGAAGCATTTTGTGGAGCAAAGAGAGGCCAGAGGAAATGGGTGCATTAGGAAGGTATCACTAACAGTGATTCTTACTGAGGATCTACCTTGGCCTCACGTATATACCCTACCCAATTCTAAATATACAGAGGCAGTAAAACTTTGCTTCATTATCATTTTTAAAGTCTCTGCTAACTACTGTTAAAATATAGTGTGAAGAGTAGTCTGAGAAAAGAAGGGCACAAATACATGAAACAAGTGCTATGTGGGTTAATTATATTAGGACAGTAAGTATGTGATTTGAATATAGCCATAGCTGTGTCAACAGATGAGGTGGATGGCCTTATCTTGGGAACTGGAGATTCACAAAAATTGGGAAATTCTTATTAGATTAGAATGTTATAATGGCTTCTCTTTGCCAAATTTAAGGTAGGAAGGTTTAGTCAGGATCAAAGTGCTTGTTGTTGCACTCTGTGGGTTTGTAGTAAAAGTTGGTGAGTGATTTAGAGGACCTTATGCTTCATTTGGATTCCTTTATCCTAGAAATAAACCTACAGATGTTTAGTATGTACTACTTATTATGAATTGAGTAGCACACTATGCCAGAAATTTATTAGATTACAACAGAATGGCATTGTTAGCAGTTCATGAGACATAAGGAAAGATTTGCATGTGAGATACCTTTGAACATTCCATTGTTACCAGTTATGTTACCATTTAGTAAGCTCTTTTTGAGCATCTACTCCATGTCATTTCTGTTATCATTGATGCTAGATGTACAGTCATCTGTAGCTTCAGCAAATAAGAGAAGTTTGTCTTATACTCATTCACTTTATTGGGTGGTTATATATGTGTGTGTGGGTACACCACTTAGCTTATGGCTAAGCATCTGATTTAATGAATTCTATTCAGCCTTGGAGAATTTCAAATGTTATGCATGATTTGGTTGTTAAATACTTTCTAAGTTTTTTTTCTTGTTTTAAATTTCTTATTGTAGAATAATTTTTTAGGAGCTATAATCGGTTTAAAGCTACATTTTCTTTTAAAATAAGAGCACTTGACCTCAGGCTCAAATGAAAAACATCTTCTTTCATGAATTGCACAGATTTTGATCACCATGTATCTTATCACAAAGATTATGAATAGTGGCTTTTACTCTGTCAACAAATTATGACCTGTTGTATGAGTGTTTAGGTAAGAACCAGTTTGCTGACTGAGGTTCATATTTATTTTTCTAAAGTGTAAGTTTTATTATGGTATTGCTCTTCCTCATCACTCTTCTCACTCCTTTTCTTTTTTCAAAATCAGCATGAAGCCTGTAGTCATGGGCACCTGCAGGTAGTGGAATTGTTACTCCAGCACAAGGCTTTGGTGAACACCCCTGGGTATCAGAACGACTCACCACTCCACGATGCGGCCAAGAATGGGCACCTGGATATAGTCGAGCTGCTACTGTCCCATGGAGCTTCCAGGAACGCTGTGTAAGTAGTTCAATATGCAGACTTTTTTTCATTGACTTGTATTCCTAAATCAAGGTCTATCATGAAGCAGTCTTTTTAATCCAGTTGATGGCTCTCTTCTCTTTCACAATTAGAGTTAGATGTGACCATTAAATTCTGGATTTAAAATCATCATTCATGCCCTTTTCCTTTGTGAGACATATTTGAGGGAGATATGCTCTTTTAATTCAGAAATCGTTGTCCAATTTATTTTGGAAGCTGTGACTTCCTGTACAAATTCAGTTGGTTTTTATATTCTTTGGATTGATTAATACTTATTATTAGGAAAAGAATTAGAAGCATAGGAATAACTATTATATGCTTATCAGTATTTTCAAATTGTTTTAAATATTCTATTCCTTTCCTGTTTTGTTTTTTCCCCCCTGCATATTTAATATAACAACAGCTAAAATGTAAGAATTCAGATGTTAGGCAAGGGCTGTCACACTATTTCTTAGATTTTTCATATCATTCAAATGAAGCTCTGGGTAAATTGTTTTGCAGGATCAGGGCAGGGATGCCTTAGTGAGCGCTGGCCGCTACATTTAGAATTGTCATTGTAAAGACTTTCAAGCAAATGCTGTGTGTGGATTTTATATCTTTAATCTATAACTTGGTTCATGTCTCCATACATATTATTTTACTCTTTTCAGTTAATGAGGTAGTTGAAATGGAAATGCAAGAATTATCTCTCTGTGTCCCCATTGCTTCTGTAGGTCTGGAAGGAACACACAAAGGTCAGACTTACTCAGGTTACAGAAGCAAATAAGAATTACAAAATGCAGAGCTAATAGGTTATAATTTTTATAGGTAACCAAATGACACAGATTACTAATACAAGAGTACCTTGGAGCTTTTAGTTTCAGTAAGTGTGTCTAATATTCTTTCCCATCAGATGTGATAAAATACTTGCGGCAATCTCAGGGGATGAATATTCTTTCTTATTTTCTTTTTTTTTTTGCTTTACACACATATACACACATACTTTACGTTAGGTCCATATATAGATATGAGATATGGACCTAACAGGTATGACCCTCCTGTGGATGTAACAAGCCATTTGATGAAGCAAATGGTTGCTTGGGTCAGGTGAAATGGAATAGTTTCTATCCTTGGCTTCTTAAATCAGCCATGACTACTTTAATGAATGGGGTACTGGTCAGGGCGTTAGGGAATCCAGGTTCTGTTTGTGACTCCATTATTGACTTTATAGCCTCAGGCAGGTTAATTTCTGTGCCTTGTGTTCTCACCTATAAAACATGGGTGATGCCTGTTACTTTTCTATTTCTTCAGAGCATAGTGAGGATTAATGAGCCCAAACACAGAGCCTGTCTTGTGGCTCATACACCACGAGTCTTCTCTGCACTGTGAAGCTTATTAATATACAAGGTGTGGGCATGAGACAGTGAGTGAATCTGTCTTCACAGGTGCCTTCTCAGGTAGACATTTACCTGGTAAAGTGGCAGACTTGGGTATATCTAAAGCGCAGCACTGTCAATAGACCGTTTTGCAGTGCGGGAAATGCTCTATAGCTGGGCAGGGTACTCGGTAGCCACTAGCCATCTGTTGCTATTGAACATTTGAAACGTGGCTATGCTACTGTGGAACTAACTTTTAACATGAATTTTATTTTAATTAATTTAAATAGCCATTTGTGCCAAATGGCCACCGTGTTGGACAGTTGGTTGATACAGTTAGGATAGTGGGGAAGGAGGGTTTATTTGGTATGAGAGGTTGGGAATGATGTTGGATAAAGGGTAGTAAGACAATTAATTTTAGTGCAAATGCAGAGGTTGATTTAGTCTAGGGTTTAGTAGTGCGGTAGCTGTTTCTAAATGTTATTGTTCCTTCTGTTCCAGATTGTTAGTCATCACACTTAAGTATTTTCTTCTTTCTGTTTTATTTCATAGTAGTTGTTGTTCACCTATTTGGCTTCACTATTTTCTGGTCTTTTTCTTTTCAGATTACTTTTTGTTTTACAGCCCAAGAGCTTTCCAAAAATAAAAGTTTGGCCAAATTATTTATTTGCTTAAAACACTTCACTGGCTCCTCTTAATGTTTTTAAAATAAAAGTCAAACTTCAAAACATGGTTTCTAAGTCCCTGGACAGTCTGACACTACTTACCCCTTCAGCCTTGTCTTTCTACACTTCCTCCTTCACACATTTTTTTTGCAGTGACCTTTTAAAACTTTTTTATTTCCTTAAAATGTGCTAGACTCTTTTGTCTTTCAGCCTTTAAGTAGACTTTCCCTTTGCCCATTTTTGGTGGCTAATTCCTCATCTCAGTAAGCATTTCCTTTTGCGTGCCTCTTGATTCCTTTGTCTATATATGGTGTTTCCTTCCAGTCATAGAACTTAGTAATAGTATCTTTGCTTCATATTATCTTCTTACTAGAGGACCGGCACACGAAATTCGTGAACAGGTAGGGTCCTTAGGCCTAGCCTGCGATCAGGGCCCATCTTCCCCTGCTGCCAGCAGCCAGCTCCACCCCCCACCGCCCCTGTCTGCTGCCACCCACCTCTGGTTCTTCATTCCCCATCAGGCAGTCGGAGCCTGCCAGCTGCGGGGAGGGACCAAGAGGTTGGCTGTTCCTGCCCACTCACCGGCCCCGCCCCCCACCGCCGGTCACCCTGTGTGTGTGGGGCGACCTGCGCGGCGATCAGGGCCCGCTCGCTTGTACCCGCCTTGGCCTCGTACTGCCCGTGTCCGTCGCCACCCACCTCCTGTTCCCCATTCCCCATCGGGCGATCAGAGCCTGCTGGCCGGTGGGGGAGGGACCGAGAGGTTGACCAGCAGGCCCTGATCAAGTGATCGGGGCCTAGGGGCTAGGGGGCAGCTTCTTTGTTGAGCATCTGCCCCCTGGTGGTCAGTGATGTCATAGCGCTGTCGCATATTACGCTTTTATATATACACCGTAGATTAGTTTGTACAGTCTCTGTCTGAGGTATCATGCCTGCTGTCCCAGGCCCTGCCAATTGCCTAACGTAGTCTGTACCCACATGTATTTGGAGTGAATTAGTAGGTGTGTGAATGCATAAAAAGATGATATATTTTGTCCTGTCTTTTATAAAGGGTCAGATGAGATCAAAATAGGATTTGTCTTTTTCTTCTCCCAGTTTCACTATAAATGTGAAGAGAATATCTGAAACCAAGTTTCTTTCGGCAGCACCTTTGCTAAGGTGGTAGAACTGTGGTAAACGGGCAGTCGGACATCCCTCGAGGATTGGAGAGAGTGCAGGCTGGGCTGAGGGACATCCCCTGCACCCGCAACCCCTGTGCACAAACTTTGTGCACCGGGCCTCTAGTTATATAATATTTGGAGAGTGCTCCAATTTTGTTACTAGTAGTTATTATTATCACTGTGAACTGCTAATGTATTAATAGTAGACCACAGATACTAAAGACCAGGTGGATTTTTTGTTATTCTATTAAATTTTTTCTTAAATGGTCCCTGTAGACTATAAAAACAAAATTTACCCATTTTTCAGTTTAACCTGAGGCTGTGTTTTTCAGGAGGATGCCCAGGAACTTCCTTTCACTGATGCTTAGCAGAGGGCACAGCAGTGAGACAGGGTCTGCGAGGAAGCAGTGTCCCTAGTCTATTTCCCACATGTATATGAGCATTCAAACCCATAAAGCTTCAAGCCTTCCTGTATATATTTTTTAGGCAAATGTTGTGATAGTTTCTGTGTATTGAATGCAAAAAAGAACTTCATTTCTACATATTTCAGGGCCCTATGAGCTAAAGTAGGCCCCTGGGCCAGCATCATGTCCATTGATTCCCACTGCTCAATAGACACAAGGAAGTGATGGTTGATGGATTTCCTGTGAGAGCATGTTTGATAAAAGACCTGTGTCCTCACACCAGCTGTAGATTCATTCTTCTTACTCAACATTGGGTATATTTTGATTGACATTACACCTTTTCTGTTACTGTAGAATTTTATTTGAATTATTTTAATTGGGGATAAAGCAAACTTATAGAGAGGAGTAAAGATTTTTGTAGCTTAGCCTTGGGTGAGTAAAGAACACCAAGACAAAATCCAATCTTAGAGTTTTTCTTTAATGTGTTCAGAAGAGAGAAAGGGCTAAAGGGCCCACGTTAGAAAGTTCTGTATCTGTTAACGTTTTGTTGTTAAATTGCATGAATGATGCTAACACCACATGACTTTAAATATTGGAGGAAAACTCAAGAACAGTGATTCCCAAAGTGGGCGCTACCGCCCCCTGGTGGGCGCTGCAGCGATCCAGGGGGGGCGGTGATGGCCACAGGTGCATTTGTTTTAACTTTTTTTGTATTACCTTTCTATTCTGAGTTCAATAAATAGTTTCATAATTTCAAACTTCAATGTTTCTAATTTACACCTTTCTTTACTATATTTTACGAAAAAGGTAGAAACATTAATACATATATTTTTCTGTTTAATTGCTATTAAAATTTTTAAAAAATCAATTTCCAGGGGGCGCTGAGTAATATTTTTTCTGGAAAGGGGGCGGTAGGACAAATAAGTTTGGGAACCACTGCTCAAGAACTATCTTCTCAGTAGTAATTTATAAAATGTAAAGATTACTGAGAGCCTTTTTGTGGCCCAGGAAGTGGGGAGAGTCAACAATTCAGTAATATAGTTAGGCATTGAATGATTATGGAAGGCCAGGCTGAGGGAAAGGAAGAATGGAACATTATCTACCTCAAAGCCAAGTGAATCGGAAAGCATCTTATTGAATACCAGTGGAGGGAAATCTTGAAACCTTATAAGGCAAGGCATGATACCTAGGAATTAACCATATACAGTGTTAATTTAAAATATTGACAATATATTTTCCATCTTCATGATTTAATTGAAAGATCTGGGACTTTCATAGGTTCACCAACCCTATTTTTCCCCATAGAGGCTATGATCTTCAACAATGAATTTTCCTACTACAAGGTTTTTGGGCCTTAAATTATTATGATTATGGAGGATATATATATATATATAT